ATGTTTATGTATAATAATAATCAATAAATTTGAGAGTTGATCTATGTTTATAAATTATTGTAACCAAACTAAGTGACAAACATTCATTTTAGAAAAAAGTTTTTTTATCTGTAAAATATTTGTTCTGTTCTGTAACGATATCAAACATCTACTCCAAAACCGGGAGAGACCGGACAATAAACGTTTGATACTATTCGCCGGTCACTAGGAATTATCACTAATTTTCAGTCAGGTTTTCGTAAACAGCGAAGTACAAACGATCATCTTGTACGACTTGAGACTTTTGTTGGAGAGGCCTTTGTGGGTGGACAACACCTGGTATCGGTTTTCTTTGATCTTGGGAGGGCTTGCGACACTGCTTGGAGGTGTGGTGTCCTAGAGGATCTGGGGGATGCTGGACTTGATGGCGGACTTCCTCTTTTCATATCTGGATTTTTGAACGATAGGCACTTTGAAGTGGGACTTGGTTCAGCTTTTTCTCGGGACCACCAGCGGGAGCAGGGTGTTCCTCAAGGAAGCATGCTTTCTGTTACACTTTTTGGCCTTAAAATGAGCAATATTGCTCGCGCTCTTGCGCCGGGCATAGGTTGTTCTCTATATGTAGACGATTTTCTTATCTGCTATCGATCGGGGGGTGTGGGAGCAGTTGAACGGCGGCTTCAGCAGGATTTGGATGGGGTTCAGAGGTGGGCAGTGGAGGGTGGGTTTGGGTTTTCAGGGTCAGGGGCTCAATGTGTTCATTTCTGCCGACTGCGAGGGCAGCATGGTGACCCTGAACTTTGCATGTCTGGTTCTGGAATTCCAGTGGTTGATGAAGCTAGGTTTCTGGGAGTTATATTTGATGAAAAACTTTCTTTTGTACCACATATTGGGCATTTGAAGGCTAAATGCCTGAAGGCTTTGGATTTGCTTGGGGTCTTATCGGGCACAGGTTGGGGATCAAATTCTTCCGCATTGCTGAGGTTATGCAGGGGTCTTGTCCGATCAGGGTTAGATTGTGGTTCTGTGGTGTATGGGTCTGCGGGAGGGTCATATCTTCAAATGCTGGATGCCATGCATCACCAGGGTTTGCGTTTGGCTTTAGGTGCTTTTCGCGCCTCACCTGTGGAGGGTCTGTATGCGAAGGCTGGGGAGCCATCGCTTTGTCTTCGTCGTGGGGGGCTGGCACTTCAATATGCAGCTGGAGTTTCATCTAGTAGGAGGGATCCAGCTAAAAGTATTGTTTTCAAGCCAAGTTGTGCTGAAAAATTTGTTAACAGGCCAAAGGTGGTTGGACCATTGGGCCTTCGTTTGGGGGATGATTTAGATAAACTTAGGATTGATCCAGACAGTGTCCTTCAGGATGACGATGGGGATGTTCCACCTTGGACTTGTGATTCCCCGGAAATGGATGTTGGCCTTTCAAGTATGGGAGGGGCATCGGATTCACCTGAATATTTCGGGGAGAAGTTTCTAGCAGTTGGGGGGGGGGAACATGAAGATTTTATACATATTTGTACGGACGGTTCGGGGGAGGGTTGCAGGGTGGGTGCGGCTGTGTTTGAGAATAGTTTTGCATCTGGTGTGAGGTTGCCAGATGGTGCATCGGTTTTTGCTGCTGAAGCGGGGGCTATCGATTTAGCATTGTCATACATAGCACAGCGTGCCCACGATGGGTTTGTGATATTTTCTGACTCGCTTTCTGTTTTGGTATCCATTAAAAATGGGAAATCTGACAATATCATGGTGGGGAGGCTTCTTTTACGATTTCATGATGTACTAGGGACGAGGTGTGTTAGGTTATATTGGATTCCGGGCCGTGTGGGAGTGCGAGGAGGTGAAGGGGTGGATGCTTTGGCTAAACAATCATTGAATTTTCAAAGGGCTGACTTGTTGTTGCCTGCTTGTGGTTTTGGACCGGCTATAAATGGACTCGTGTCGGCTGAATGGAGGGCAAATTGGGACAATGCCGTTTTTGATGGGCTTCACGATATGGGCCCATCTCTTGGTGTGTCACCATCTCTGTCTCTGTCAGGCCGCCGTGATCGAACAGTTCTTCTTCGATGCCGGGTTGGACACGCTAAAGTTGCCCACTCTTATCTCCTCACAAATGACAGTGCCCCTTTCTGTGTGGGTTGTAGTGAAAATTTTGCTGTCAAGCATTTTCTTCTTGAATGTCATGATTTTTCACGGGCCCGTAATAGATTTTGTTCTGTAAATTCGCTCGGGGAGCTTTTTGGTGCAATTCCATCAAAAAACATGATTGGTTGTTTGAAGGAGATGAGCTTGTGTTCTGGGATCTGATTGGCTCGTTTCTATTGTCATTTACAATTTTTTACATGATGTTTTGGGCCTATTATGGCATTCGGCACGATGTGGCCAGTTATGTGTTGACGTGCCGTAAAAATCCAAACAAACAAACTAGTAAATCCCGGGGAGAGACCGGGAATTACCGATAGCAGTACATCCCTCTATAAATAGATTTTCGGAATGTTTAGGTCATCAACTCATCATTCTATTTTAACATACCATAATAACCCACTGTGTACTACAAAATAATAAATAAGAAAAACCCGAAGAGACGGAAAAGGTTATTTCATTTGAAAATGTTTGCATTGCGAAATTCTCCAGTTCGCTTTTCATTGTACATATCGCGACATTTCATTTTTAATTAATAATAATCAAGCACCCTCATACCGATCGGAATGATCGGCTTTTATTATGACCGACTAAAAGGCTCGAGAAGTTGCTGTCGCCCTTTCACAAATCTGATTTCATTCCATAAAGGGCGCCGCGCTTCGGCGCGGACGCCAATAAAAGAAGATAATTCATTTAACGCCGTCACGTTCACAACAGAGGTCCGAAAAAAATCTCGGTATCCGGTATGTCCGGGATCGTTTATCAATTTTTTGTCATTTAGTAGGCCCCTATCACATTTCAAGCTTAAGGTTAAATCGATTAATTGGTCATCATATAAATAAAATAATTAATCAATTAATAATTTTAGTGCCATGAATTACTACAAATATAAAAACAAAAGCAGTTATTCGTATCCCTATATGTTTGATAAAATCCCGGATTCCGTGCGTTCCGGAGCACAGGTCACGATATTGTCCTGTACGACCACCTGATACTAGAACAAAACCCGGATGAAAGAATTCCGTGGTATAATAAAAGAAGGTATTTCCCGTTGGTGGAAGAGCGAACTGTTTGTTTTCAGAGCAATAATGTTAAAATATGAATATTTTGAAGTGTCATTTCGATTTCTTTCAACAATATTATGTTTTTGAGAGGGGATTTTGAAACATCAGCAAGACGCATTTTATCTTCAGGATGTCAGCTGCTTTAATGAATAACATCAATAGTATTTTGTTGTTGGGAGTTATATTAATCAAGTAGACTTCACAAAATAGTGATATAACACAAACACGTGTATACTCTACAAGATGTAAATTTATTCTTCTAAAATCCCTACCATCGAGGTACTGGCTAGACATGTTATTGAGCATGCGCAATGTGCATACATTATAAACTAGCTAATCAGCTGATATTACTACAAATAGAACGATATTCTTTATAAGCCCCTTTTATAACAAAAAGATAAATGTTATTTTGTAAAAAAAAAAACATAATATAATGTGCATTGTAAACAACTTAAAGTTGATGAAACCTGTTATTGAAAAAAAAAAAATTTGAGTACATGTATTTAACTGTTTAAATTTTATCATATTTTATTTTTTATTGATTAATGTGTTTTAAAGTATTGATAATACTGTCTTAAAAAGTAATTTAATTTTGAATTCGTAATTAAAACACAAATGAACTAATAGAATTAAAATTTGTTTGTTTGCTTGGTTTTACGGCGCACCAACATATGGCACAGAAACATGAAAGATAATGTTGGCTAACTCTCGAGTGTAAAATACTTTCAAAGCAACACCAGGAGTCAAAACCACCACACATGCTAGAGCTAAGAAATGCAAATACTACATTTATAAAAACCAATTTAGTCGCCTTTAACGATAACGCAAGGATAAACGGTGGTTACAATTTTGATACCTCAAGCATTATAGACAACAACTCAGCCACAGGGATCGAGTTGAAATCACCAAGGATGAATATATCAAATACTGGATTTTTAGTTTGTCCTTATCATTAATTGTATTTAGTATTTTTGGAGGACTTGTATTTCTTCTTTTAATGTTAAATATACATATTTGTTGTCTTTTGTTTGCTGCATGAAATGAAGCTAGAGCCAAGGGAAGAATGCTGAAAGTAACTGCTGGAGAACAGTTTTACTTATAAATTATAAGTGAGACTTCTAAATAACTTGCTGTCAGTATGATACTATATGCTACACTCTACTCGGGTGCACGCTCGTTCCTAAACTGTGAAATAAATTGTCCGTTTTGTGTATTTAAAAATGGCAAAATATGCAACAGAATTTGAAAATCAGTGAATTGAAAAGATAACAATAGAACAAAATCATAATAAATAAAAACGTAAAGGCTATTCAAAACGTGTCAAAATCGTAAATTACCTAGGATATGGCGTTTATCTCAGCTGGTTGTCACAACAGAAACGAGTCCTTTGATATTTTTAATTATTGTAAAAAAGGTAATTTGTAGCTTCTTTTTTTCTTTTATTTCATTTCCGTAAACATCAGAACCGTCCAACGCAGTTATATATCTAAATGATATAAAGTCTATAAAATTCAATTAGTTTTGTATTATTACATCTTTAACGGCAATTATTTACATCTCCGTTATAAACACGTTGGATTTTACGTCGCACAAACACATTATAGGTTATATGGCGACTTTCAAGCTTTAATGGTGGAGGAATACCTCAGATGTCCTTCCGCTAGAAAAGGCACCTGAGTATAGCCACCGACGTGTGAAGATAAAGACCTTAACGACTCGGCATCTAAACATCTAATAGTTTACAGAAAATTAACAAAGTCCAATTGTTTAAAATCTCATTTTTAAACAAACAATAAATAATATAAAATTAACCCTCACCTAGCACTTTGAGAGACAATGTTTGTTTCTCTACCCCTTCTCTTAACTGAAGCTCGTGTGTGTTGTTTTCTTGGTCCTTTGCTACATGAAAAATTGATAACAGAAACTGTATGAGTGTTTCTTTCTCGCTTTTAAATTTAAGAGAAATAAACATGTTTAAAAGACTAATAAAATACAGTACTGCCACTTGACTTTCAAATAAAAAGAAAAAAAACACAAAAAAAAACACTGTATTCTGCAAATTCTATTAATAATGTTTTATAGCAAAATGCAGCAGCAATGATCTTCCAATAATGAGACTAGTTTTTCTATTTTCTTTGCGAATGTAAATAGAGCACGTGTTTTTTTTTATTCCTTTCTTATTGGTATTTTAATTTAGATCACATTTGTTGGACATTTAAAACTATTGTGTCTAGTTCTTAACTTTATTTATCCATAAAAATATTTTCATCAGTTTTACCCTGTGTTATCTCAGAATCTCCAGCTCCCTGAACACTTTCCCTTGTTCTTTGTTGTAATCTTGTTTCTAAATGTCTTATCTCTTTGTAATCTTTAAACAAGCATATAGGTTATTAATTATTGACTTTAAAATTAATTTATGGTCAAATTTTAATGATTACACATGATGTTAGAAATAAAACAATGATATTTTGGAGCTAACATTACATATTATGAAAAATGCATTAACACGTGATAATGTTAAGAATCATCTTAAGGTCTTTTATGAATTCTGACACAAATGATAAAACAAAAAACATCAAGAACACATAATAATAGATAAATCATAAGATATGAAATGTGACAGACCATTGATCTTTGATTCAACAGGAGATATAACAGCAATGTGTGTATAAGTTTCATGGTGTTGAAGTAGTTTTGTTTCAGCATTATCATCATCATCTTCATTTTCACTGTTTTGATTGTTTTGGCCTGTAAAAACGACAGTCAATACGTCAACAATATTGTTTGTAGGAAACACATTAAAGCTATAAAAAGGAAACAAACATGCTCAAATTATCCTCCTTTCAGTACCAAAGGTATAAATCATACAATTAACCATGAAAATATCACCGAGAGAAGCATTCAGGTATATTACTCACACAATGAGAAATATTTTAGATATCAAAGAATTTAAAAGGTCTGATGTTTAAAAAATAATAAATTCTGAAGTTGAGCCAGTAAAGATACACATGCTTAAATTGATAATTGATAATAATTTGCATTTGCTTTATATCGTTTACATTTACTAGTACTTCACATGGTATTTGTTTCAGTATTTGTACAAGATATTCGGAATATCCCTATATTTTATTGTCTTCAGGCACCATAAACTCATTAGTAATATATCTAATTTATACATATTAAATGACAATAGGTATTTCTTTTAAAATAGACAATACAACAAAAACTTGTTTTCCAACCTTTTTCGCAAAGTTCATATACAGGTATAGCGTCAACATCAGTTTCTGTTTCATTTGTTCCATCTGTAATGCAGTTTGTTTCTTATCAAGATATAGACAATAGACATAATTTAGTAATCACACATTAATATACAAAAACATAGGATTGTTCATGTTTATTTTATAATACATCGGTAACAAAAACATATACATCAAACAACAGCAAAATAATAGAACATTAATTTCACAAAGACATTATTAAGAGATTTTGAAAAAAACGTCACATTTTTGTTGTTTTCCAACCTTGTTTTGCAAAGATTTCTGTGCCAACATCAGATTCATTTTAATAATTTTATGTGTTAAGTCTACAAATCTACATTCAGTTTATTTTAAATAAAAGTATCGAAATTAATTAGTAATCACAAATTGAAATTAAAAACATTGTTTTGTTCCTGCTTATTTTAAAATACATTGATAACAAAGGACACAGACACCAGAAAATTAGAAAAAGTAATATAATGAAGACATTATTAAGGAAAATGAAGAACAAAAACACACACTTTCAAAATATCTTATATCTGGCACTAAGATATTTGCTGTGTTGCATTGGAGACACACGCTTGTGTCAATCAAACATACATTGTATGTTGAGGTTTTTCTTTGTTTCATAATAGTTTGCAAACTTTAAAACATTCTTGATTAAATACCTTTTTGTGTGTTATTTAGTCCAAACTCCTTCTCCGCCAAAGACTAAAATTAAAATGACATTAGTAAGTACATATCATATTTAAATGAATATATCAAACCTGACCTTTGTCAATTTTTGTGGACACAACTTCGAGTATAAGTGAATCGTCTTCTTTGACAATATTTGGATGGCGTCTATCTGTTAAAAAAGATATCTACAGTTTATTTATTTCTTTCCTTAAATGATTGATAATCTTTCTTACATTGTTTCTGTGCATGCTCATATCATTGCAGTCAAGTGGTAGGAAAACAACATATAAAATCGCATTGTACTTTTAAATAGGTTGTACAATATATTATATTAGCAGTTCTGTTATCTAATTTTATTCAATTTCATGGGGTAATATTTAAAACTCTAAGGATAGAAATGACTGTTCTACATTCTTGGACACAGTAGCCGTTCTTGAAGAACAATAATTCTGTTATCAAGGACTTTATCATATGTTTGCTAGTTGGAAATAACTCAATTATTGCATCCTATCTCTCGGCTATTAAATTTCTGGCAATAAATATAATATGCCAGCTAAATCATTTAGGGTTTGTAGGATTGTGATGAACGCTAAGTGAGTCGCATCGGGAATAAGGGTCATATTATTACTATGTGGGATTTTAAAGTAAATCCTATAAGGAATGAAGAAGTTGGAGTGAAAAATATCAATTTCTCGAAAAAAAATTTAGTTCAAGGGGGACATAATTCTTGAAATAGTCTTGCTAGAGTATTTAACCTTCTCAAAAATGTTGAGTGATAATAAGAAACATATATATGAAGTTTGAAGTAGATACATTAGGAAATAAAGAAGTTATTTAAAAAAGACAACTTTTTTTTCATAAAAATTTCAAGGGATGTAATACTGATTATTTTTGTGCTAGAGTTGTAAACCTTGTCACATATGATGTGGTTGATGACCAGAAACTTATATTCAAAGTTTGATGTAAACACCTTAAGAAATAAAGAACTTATAGTGAAAAAGCTGAAAAATTTAAATCAGAAATCATGAAATTCAGGCTATTTGTTGCCATAGCAACCAGAATTATCAACATAGGAAGAAAAAAAAGATGTGCATAATTTCCAGACTGCCATCTACCCATATATCAAGTTTCATAAAAATATTTTCAGTACTTTTTGCGTTATTGCGGGATCCAGTTTTGTGGACGGACGGACTGACAGACAGACGGACGGACGGACAGACGGACGGACAGACGGACGGAGGGTAAACCTAAAGTCCCCTCCGGTTAAACCGGTAGGGGACTAATAAAATAAAATGTGTTTGTTTTTTTGTATTACATAAACTATGGACCTTGTCTTGTTACAGTTGTATACGCTAACACATGGCTATTGAGGCAACAAAGATACCATCAGTTATATATTTTCTAAGATTAATATAAATGAACGTTTTTATTTGCTTTATATATCGTCAGATTTATACATGAAAAAAAAAACACAACTTACATTTATATACTAGTAGACAAAGACCAAGAGTCACAGCACTGACAACCGATATTATAATGCCGGCGACTGTAAACATGAAAGTAAATAAAAGAACAATCCATCAATAAAAAATGAATACTAATTATACTAATAAAAACAACAAAAGCAAATTAAAAGGTAATAATTTACAATAGGATGAACGTTTCGGTTTAAGCGGAAAAATGCATGTTCAGAAAAACACATACACACGTTTACATTTAAGGAATGTTACACGCACGCTTTAACGAACAAAATATACATATGTTGGCAAGACGATAAACGCTAAGCCATAAAAGCGCCCCTTAAAACGCTAGAAAGCATGCAAAATAAAACGGTTCTAAACGTTCAGTGTATTAGAAGGTTCAAAACAGTATCATTAACAAGTTAAGGCCGCGATATTTTACCGATTTGACTTCATGATAGCTTGACACTAGGTATTTAGAATAAATATCAAATGTCCTTATCAAATAAATTTCAACAAAAATGTCTGGCTAAAAAGTGCGTACTTTTGCCCTAACCACACAACGGGTACGGCCTCTGCAAGCGCACTTCTGAAAAAAAATATGTTTTACATATACGCCCAAGGTTTTAAGTGTAAAATTATGTTAGATACCTTAAGTGTCACGGTTCAGATCTGTTCATTATTTAGGGGAGAAGATGTGTAAGCGACCGGTAGAGCCGCGGTACGGTATTCCGAGGGTCCCGCGTTCGAGTCCCGGTCAGGCTGCACATTTTTCTCACCTTGTGACATTTGGCGCCCAACATGGGACCGTGATGGTATAAGCTCCGAGTTCAACTTCACATTGTTCTCTTTACACATTAGAAATTCGAGGACGAATTTCAATATAGTGGGGGAGTATGTCACGTGTCAGAACTGTTCACTATTTAGGGGAGAAGATGTGTAAGCGGTTCTATTAGTTCTACACCGTTTTCGGCGTAAACAAGAATAACATAAATGGAAGAGTCTTTAGGAAATTAATGATAGTCATAGCGGCGAACGTAAAAATAAGATATTTTACGCAAAGGAAAACCAAAAATATAAGACTGGCCGGCCAGCACATTCCATGACCTATCATATTCTCCTTTCATACCTGTAAGGGATAAAATTTCGGGGTGTCATTCACTCGAGCCTTAGAATTTTATTGAATACTTTGATATATACTACTCAAATTGCTAAGTACAGTGCGTTACTTTTGTGTATTTGTACTAAATGTGACAATTGATTACAAGGACTTGAATATAATTAGTTAGGAATTGATTTTTATGAACATAATGACAATGGAAGTGTTCCTAGACGTGAGCCTGTTGCGGAAAATGGTTAGCGTAGGGTGTTTAATACCGAGTATGGTATCCGCTGGCATTGATTACCGCCTGGCGTCGCCGCCTCATGCTGCTGATGAGCCTGCGGACCTTGTAATAAGGAATCTGCACGCATTCCTCTATGACGGCATGTCTTAGCTCCTGAAGTGTTGTTGGGTGGACGTGGCGAGAAGAAATGGTTTTCTACAGCATATCCGAAGCATGCTCAATTGGATTTAAATCAGGGGACCTCGCTGGCCAATCCATGCGGACTATAGTTGCCTCCTCAAGATATCGGTTTGTGATGTGGGCTCTGTGTGAAAGGGCGTTGTCATCCATAAGAATGAAAAAGGGCCGAGTGCGCCAGCGTACGTGCGTGCATGGATGTCTTAGATTTCATTGACGTGCCTTTCTGCCATCAGTGTACCGTCTCCAATGATGTGTAGGTTCTTTTTCCCCTTAGCGCTCATTCCCACCCACACAATGATTGAACCCCACCAAAACGGTCGTGTTTTGCAACGCATGCTGAAGCTAAGCGTTCATTTGGACTTCTCCAAACCCTAGCCCGTCTGTCCGTAAAGTCAACACAAAAACTTGACTCAGTGAAGAGGACCGGGTCAAATCATTAAATATCCATATGACATAAGTCTGCGCCATTTGCAAACGCTCTTGAATATGGCGTTGTGTCAAAGGAATGCGAATTGCTGACCTCTGTGACCTCAACCCAGCATCATGCAACCTGTTTCTAACATTGTGTGTGTTTACACGTACACCAGTTGCATCCTGGAAGTCTTTACGTAAGGTCGTAGCGTCGAGAGCCATTGGCGCCTGGCCTGAATGACGATAAATCGGTCCTAGGTTAAAGTCGTTGAACGTTCCCGACCTCCGGCGTGGTCCTGCAAGACATTTCCTGTCATTTGGAATCGGTTCCACATCCCAAGGACATGGCTTCGTGCCTTTGTCTATGGCCAGCCTCCAACATTTTAATTACCCTGTTCATCTTATCTTCACTATGACAACGTGTAACCTGTCGATTTGCCATAGTTTGCAAATTTCGAACACAGTTTAACAATAAAACGAGAGAAGTCTTGCTGCTTGTACACGTTTTAGTGAAAGCACATGTCCATAAAACACCAAATTTCTATTGGTATGCTTTTCCACGTGCTTATCGTGCAAGATGTACATGACAAATCGATAACTTAAGTACACGATTATTAGGTCACCGTACCGCTGTATCGTTAGCGAAAATATGATTTTTATATGATGATAATAGGACTGAAATATGCAATGTCAAAAAGGTGATCCGTAGCAAATTTTGAGTTGTATATATAGCTATTTAAAATTACATTTTGGGCCGCCCAAATTGTCAGCAAGAAAAAGGAGTGAAAGATAATAAACAGTAAATTACTAACTTGAGATTAATAAAATTAATTATTGATAAAATGAGTGTTTGTACAACTGTTTTGGTGATTTGTGTTTCGATATATTTGAAAGAAGCTTTATTTTAATATTTGGTATTTGACGGGTATATATGTACCCCTCAGAAATGATTGTTAAAGAATATTGCGAAGAGAAGATGGGCAATGTCATAATGAAACCCATTTCTAAGCTGGGAATATAGTATTTCCAGGTCTTAGTGGAGATGTTTTGTTTCTTTCTTCATAAGTGATGTATATTACCTAACTGTAATGACCTGCCAAGTGGAAATTTGATTAAAGGTCTATAGATGATTATGATAGAAACATGTTTTTGTTGGTTTTACATTATTTGGAAATATACATCTACATCTTAATCACACTGCTTCAAAATCGTTTAATATAACACTAAGCAGGTATACACTTAATTGAATTGAGAGACAGCTATGTTATACAAGATAATCCGGGAACCAGTCCCGAGCTCTTGAATAGACCCCTTGGTTCTTTTACATGCCATGCATAAACCACTTATACATGCGAGGATTACCTGGATTTCTTACCAGTACACCTCTAGGTAGGTGGGAAACACTGAAAGTGTCTATGAAAAATCCCAAGGGTGTAACCCATGATTGAACCCGGGACTTCAGGAGTGATAATCAGTGGTGTAACCAACTTAGATATCGGGCCACCTTTAATTTAAAAGGTTAAAGAAGCTAACTTTGACTTGACCTTATCATTGTGGCATTTGAATCTTGCTGGTCACTTTGATTTATTGGCGTAGCATTCCTGTAAGCTTATAATTTGGTGCTTTAAATAAATTTACACCCACTTATTCCTGGTACGGTGTAATCTGACCCCAGTGATGCTTGAATGAAACCATAGAAACCCTGTCTATGGATGATACCAATTGTACAGTCTCTGCTAAAACAAAAACGTAAGTGTATAGGACAACACAGCTCATGTAGAAAGGTATCTATATGTTTAAAGCACCAACCATTCTGTTAAAGTATTACCCTACGTAATAGTGATTAATACACACTAGTGTTTTCATTTGTATTTTGTCATAAAACTCTGTTGATAATTTTTTCATAGACCATAAGGATTATTTGAACCGATACAGTAAGCTTGTGACCGAGATGATCGGCTTGGTCGAGTTCATTTACGACCGAACAAGATGATTTCAATTTGCTACTCAGCATTATTTTGTGTAATTCACCCATAGATGGACGATGTTTACGTTTAAATCCACAGCTGATATTAACCTGTAATTTCAATCTGTGACATATCATATGTTTTATATTAATTAACAATAATCGTACCAATACATGCTTTGTTAGAGAGATCCGTCATGAACTACATAATCTAAAAAACTCCTCACTTACATGGTAATTGATGCGAAGACTTTAAACATGCGATGAATTTTTATAACAAGGCACACACTGTGGTTTAATTATAAGAATTACATCAGATTACATTATTATCTATCATCACTTTTTGAAATAATTCCTTAACAAATGTACAAATCATAATGTTTTGTATCTGTATTCATTACAGATTTAAATACTTGACATCCATGTCACAGTATACAATAAAGTAAGTTGGGTGTGCTTGATTGAATACAGAATACATGTATATGTTTTAGATATTTCAGTTGAACTTTATCTAGTAAAGCTTTGTTGCCATGGCCCAAGAACTCACATATAATAAAATTAGCTTTACTAATTTATCCGAATAAATCTATTTGAATATCTATTTGTAAACGTTTTGACATCTCAATAAGACAGTAGCCTAATAGCTGAATGAGTTTTTGCTTTAACAAACAACAAATTCTACTTAATGTTCACCTCAATATCAAAATATCACTTATATCACAACCATCAGTAAGATCTGATACACGCGAGATTTATCCAAGGTCTTTCGATTGCTCTCTAAACGCCACTGAAAATCAGTTGTTCGGTATTTTGTAACGAGTCTTCTGATTGGCCAACATGTTTGGGATTTCTCGGATATTATTGTTTCGCTTACAATTTTCAATTTTGTCTACATTGGAATTTTATCACGACTGCGCTCGTTTCCTTTTAGAAATGTAATGAACGGGAAAGGCTAGAGAATTTTGGTTTGTCTCGAAGTTTCATACAAACGTGAAATATCAATAAATGTTTTTTTTTAATTGTCTGGACAATTGTTTTCACAACGACCCGTGAAAAACCCCTTGCTCGCTGGCTCGAATCTGGATTTTCAGGGCTTTTCTTTAGTCATAGTATATTTTTAGGGGGTCATATTTCACATTGTTTTTTTTTTTTTTGGGGGGGGTTGTTGTTTTTTTTGTGTTTGACACATTCAAGGTCAACACATGTTTTTTTTATTTTGGTCATTTTTTTCTTCCGATGTCCGAAACTTTTGCCTGTGACGTACGTCATTATATATGTTTAGTAAAAAAAGCGTTCTGAAAATAACGTAGCTGAACAATTTGTAAAATGGACAAATATAACATTCCGGACCTCTTTTGCACATTTATCTAAGTATATATTCTGTTTTAGTTTATCGTTTGATACTATATAATAGTACGTAAGGGGCTGCTTTTCTGCCCAATTTTAGCGCTGGGTGTATCTTTTTCAGGACAGCCAGTGGCAAGTTTCACTGTAGGAAACGCTTTTATGATTATAAAACGCACAATGCACGTACGCACTGTATCTGAAATATACATGGACGAAAAGCGGTATTTTAGACAACTGACTGAAACGTTCAACCAAGTGTTACTTACATTTGATGTCATAGTATACTTCAACACTTAAGCGCCTCATAAATTAAAATATAAAGAGGATATTGCTTGTTTGTGTGTAACATGAAATTTTATTTCATCGAGTGAGCTTAAAAAACAGTATTCTCAGGACTGGCGTAGCCACGAGTTAGAATTCTGTTTTTAATGTTCACGAGATGAAATAAAATTACATTTTACACACAAACAAACAAATTTTCTTTTGATTGTATGCTTAAAAACAAGTTTAAATGAAAATGCCTCAATTTTAACTTCTGTTTTCCCCACTGGTAGCCTCAATTTCAGACAAATTCCTCATGAATACAGAGTCTTAGGCTGAAAAATAAGTTCGACAATCAACGTTAAATGGTGATTATATTGTTTATTTCATTAAAAAATATGAATAAGCGCTTGTTTTAATAATAAAAACAAACAATTCTAGTAGAAGAAAAAGTCACATCAATCGACTTTGTCCGCTTCTTACGGCGATTAGACCGGGCGTTGTGTAATATAAGCGGTCGCCATTTTTAAAAGTTGTGTCGTTGAGAGGTGTGAAGTTTTTTTGATAACATTTTAAATTCACTGTAAAATTATCAAATATAAGTTTCACGAATAAATCAGTAATCCACGCAAAAGTATAAAATAAAACAATAAATTCCTTAAAGCTCAATTTTTAATCTAAATTGTTTTTTAAAACAAAATGTTCAATTATGATATAGTTTGAAATTCCTATAAATTAGATATAAATAATATATTATATATATAATATACTATATAGTTGTATATTGTACATACACCCAAAGCGGTAATAATTATTGTTGTTTGACATGCAGAGTCACAATGTACATACGCATACGAGATTTTTATGGTTATAATATTTATTAACATATAAAATAATCATATTGTATGTCTTGAGAGACTATACTTTAAAAGTATGTTATGATTCGTACCTATGAAAGGGGCTTTTTGATCCACCGCATCCTTGTTTGTACCTTGGTCAGGGACTTTTTGATACCCCGAATCCTTTCTCGTTATCAGCCGTTCTCTTTAAAATAAATACTAGATAAATGAATTTAAATTGTTATTTAACTTTCGCCAATATGAATGAATAACACACAGACAACGTGAATTGCTATACAGATACATTACTGAATTAATTAAGGATACGCAGAGAATGGTATTGTGAAAAAAATAATTCTAATAGTTTTACAGTCTTTTGCTAAGGTAAGATTATATACACCTATATATATTTATGTTCAACAATTTATTAAATAACCGCATTTTATGTTTCAAATTCTTATACAGAATCATTTTGTCTCTAGATAAAATGATTACAAAATCATGAAAAATACACATTTAAATGATTTATCTTTAACGACGTGTAGGATAATAATCACTCACATTTCAGTACATACAAAGTCAGGTAATTGCCTTTCAAACCCAGCATCACACTTATCTACACAAGTGCCATCTGAAATTTTAAAACAAACTTGGTTACATTGGCGCATTCAAAGTCAGACAAAGGATTGTTACTAAAAGAGGTATACGTTTTTAAAAATGTCTACAATTTAATTTGTAACATTATGCAACATTATTGAAATGAACAGTCGGAAAAAGTATTTTTTTGTATTTCAAAGGGTTCACAGAAGATAAATGCTAATCAAATGTAGTTCATTTTTGCATATGTGTAATGTTTTGAAAGTTATAATGACATGTTTCTATAACCAATAGGCTTTTATCGGTAAGGGTTTTGCATTTGAATTAATAAAGAAAAAAGCAATCAAAGGAGGTCAATATGAAATATATGAATGTATACTTCTTTTAAACTGAGCTTAAACATTTACAGTCTTTTAAACAGAAGAAATTATCATAGTATTATACTGGATGGTCATTGGCCATTCAGTTATGCAGCTGATAAATAAATGACATGAATGAACTTAAATTTTTGAGTTCTTAGTTTGTTTGTATTATAGTAATGTGTTAAGTTTCCCTGCCTAGTAAGGAAATTATTTTTATACAACTGATAATCAAAAGATTCAGTTTTCTAAGGATTAATATGTATAACTGATATTTTAGCTTTTTGTTTTCTTTTTTTAAGTAAAATGGTTGGAAAGTTCCAAGTTCTTTAAAAGTGACATTAGGAAACAGTGTTTAGGAGCGAACAGACAAACGGACTGAAAGACACTCTGAGGGTAATCTTTAAACATCCCTGGTTGTTACCAGAAAATTACGCAAAATTCTAAAACCAAAGAACACTCTTGAAATAAAAATGCTAGAACTAATGAACATTGTCATACATGATGTGATTGTAAGGGTTTGCATTTGAATTAATAAAGAAAAAAAGCAATCAAAGGAGGTCAATATGAAATATATGAATGTATACTTCTTTAAAACTGAGCTTAAACGTTTACAGTCTTTTAAACAGAAGAAATTATCATAGTATTATACTGGAGTATCATGTAACAAATTTATGGCATTTATGCAAACTCAAGAATATAACATTACCTTACTAGTTAATTTTAAGATCAATGCCATATTGAGTAGTTCAACGTGACAATTTTATGGACAGTGTTACGGTGATGTCATATAAACGCTAAGGCAACGTTTAGGTTGATTTACCAAAAAAGGATTTGATAACCAAGAATTAATCAAATAATAACATCATCTTCGAGCAAAATTAAATATTTTGACCATTTAACTTATACATTCCTATCGCCAGCCCTAAGCGTCTGTATTTTAACTACGAAGGATGTTTTGAAAATAAGTAACCATACTGTATTAAATCCGAACGCGTCACAGGAGAGTCATAAAAATTACACTAATTTGTTTTCTATGTCTACCTTATCGATAGGTACCATAAAAATATAGTTAGAATTGCAGATGGTCGTATCATATGGATTTCATTTGTCATAGTAACAGCAACCCGGGGTAACCCAAGATTTATAAATGTATATTCAACAATTAATGCGACGTCGACCTGGGAGAGGACACTCTAAGCTGTTTTGTGTAAATATTGTTCATCGTGTAAAATGTGAATAAGAGTATATCGAATACAATAAATTCGACTTTTTTTAGGGTTTTTTTTCTTATTCCGCTTAAACATGAACGGACATTTAAATAACGTCACTGTTAATTTGTCTGTCATTTCAACATCGGTAACTGGTGTAAACAACACTACGCATGCGACGGGTCAATCATTAACTTAACGCCAAGATGTCGTCATCAGAGATAACTTAAATTTTGAAGAATTATACATTTTGGCAAAACCTGGGGCATTCACCGACCGAAACCTTCAAAATGATAAAAAGTCAACACATGTTAGTACAGTAAATCGTGCGCTGGTTTAAAAATGATACAGATGATATAGAACCGGTAGAGAAACAGAAGAAGATGACAGTAGGAGAGAGAAACTAAAAATGTGTCCATAGGACACGGGTGCCCCCACACTCCACCGATTTGTCAATCTTATGTCTCTAGGTCAAACTGTTTTTTGGCTATATGTGCCCAAGTTGAAAACTAAAACTCTTTTATAAAGGAAAGGGCAAATACTACAAATACTGAATAAATCCACAAGAAAACCCCAATGTGCATAACTGCACATTCTGACCAACATTCTTGTAAACTTTTAGGCCTACAGGTCCTAAACTTTTTAAGTTTCGTGCAACACAAGTTGAAAATTGGGAATTTTTACTAAAGCAAGGGCAATAACTCTAAAAATACTAGAAATATCCACACGAAAATTTCCAGGTGCACAACTACACATACAGAGCAAAATTCTTGTAAGCTTTTACGACTCTAGTTTAAATACTTTTTTAGTTGCGTGTGACACAAGTTGAAAATTGGAAAATTTTACTAAGTCAGTGGCAATAACTCTAAAAATACTAAAAATATCCACACGAAAATACCCAGGTGCACAACTACACATGCTGAGCAACATTCTTGTAAGGTTTCATGACTCTAGGTCAAATACATTTTTGTTACGTGATACACAAGTTGAAAATTGAAAATGTTTACTAAGTCAAGGCCATAACTCTAAAAATACTAAAAATATCTACACGAAAATACCCAGGTGCATAACTACATATGCTGAGCAACATTCTTGTAAGGTTTCATGACTCAAGGCCAAATACTTTTTTCAGTTATGTGGGACACAAGCTGAAAATTGGAAATTTTACTAAGTCAAGGGCAATAACTCTAAAAATAATAATATTTTTTTATTAATATCCAAACGAAAATACCCACGTTCACAACTTTCTTGTAAGGTTTAATGACTCTAGGTCAAATACTTTTTAGTAACGTGCGACACAAGTTGAAAATTGGAAATTTTTTACTTAGTCAAGGGCAATAACTCTGAAAAATACTAAAGATTTCCACAAGATAATACCCAGGTGCACAACTACACATGCTGAACAACATTCTTTTAAGGTTTCATGACTCTAGGTCAAATTTTTTTTTTAGTTACGTGCGATACAAGTTGAAAATTGCAATTTTTTACTAAGTCAAGTGCAATAACTCCAAAAATACTAAATATATCGACATGAAAATACCCAGGTGCACAACTTCATTGCTGATCAACATTTCTGTAAGGTTTCATGATTCTAGGTCAATTACTTTTTGAGCTACGTGCGACACAAAAAGGGAACGGACGGACAAGGGTAAATCTAAATGCCCCCCTATAGTGGGGGAACAAAAAGCCAAAGATCACGAAGTCCGTTGTTACGTCAATTTAGAGCGTCTTTACAAATTACCAGGGCTCAAGGTTAAACTTGGGTAAGCACCATGACAGTTGTATACCGAGTATTGTTTTGTTCAATTGTGTATGACATTTACCCATTTACAACAAAACTTTAAATATATTGGTCAATACCATATTATGGTCATGATCAAGATGGAGTTGACCTGTGGTTAAAAATGACTACAATGCATTTATTAATAACAACATTTAATAACAGCCAATTAAAGCCAATTTAAGCGCAAATTATATAATTCACATTTAAGGTTAGAGTAGTTTGGAAGAAGAAACGATAAAAGACTAGCAGACACCCACACTGACAAGCTTGAAACCTGTATACAATTCTCTCGACTTTGTTAGGGGGGTCTATAATTTGCTTTACAAACGATCAAAAACAGTAATAAACAAGAGGACCGCAAAGGCGGTAATAATATTTATGCCCAAATAAATAATTTGTTTGAGTTATAAAAGATAATCTTTTAGTTAGGGAAGAAACCCTATCAGGAAACGTGATTGAACAATGTTTTATCTTAATTATTCTTAGTGTATTCTAAACCTCCAAGGTGAAGGCATTTTGTATCCTCGTTGCATTATTTATAGGACTTTTATAGATGTCTACAAGACAATTTTATGTGCAAAATATAGAAGCACTGTAGTTATACACAAAAATACATGATGTGTTTTCTTATACCTGTCTACATAAAGCAGGTTACTCCCAGGGCAGGGCCAATTTTGACCTTAGGGGCATGATTAATATAACGTTTGTAGTAATCTAAAAAAAAAGATGTTATATTTAAGACTATGCATAGTGGCCCGTATTCAGAATCGATACTTACAGTCACACTCAATGAGTAGATCCCATATAATTGCCTAACAGTTAAGACAGTCCTCACCTTTTCAGTCAAGTTGTATTCGAGTTACAAAGTAAGTGACGAATGAACTTGAGATTTGGAGGGAGCTACCTTGAGGTGTCCTTAATAAAAATAATACTGAATACCACTTAGTTTTCAGTAATGATTTTAAACTTCTTTCGTTTAAGTGCATCAAATACGCGAACTGACAGTATTTTAGAAAATAAATGTTGAAAAACAGATACTTAGGAATATAGATGATCCCATAAGATTTATCTCAGAAGTTGAATTTTATCAAAAATTTTGATTTTCAAAGGGGTGTACTTAGTGTGATACAACTATTATGAACTTTTAAGAGGGTATTCAGCTCGCGGGATACCAGTACTTATGTCAAAAAGAAATGAATTTATATGATTTCAAATTTGAAATTTCTTGAATTTTCTTTTATCAATGGAAATGACTGTTCCTGTGTTTGTCAATGTGACCATCGATGATTCTGGACTCAAGTCCTCGGATGATTTGTCGTAATACTATGCTTCTAAATATAGGCATATGTATAACAGTTAGATACAAGTTATGTCACACTGTTTGAATTTGGGATTGACATAGAATTCCCTATCTGTATATATTTGAAGATATTTCAAAGGAAAATGACAGAAAAATATCTTCATGGCGTCATGAATAACTATGGCATATAGTAAGCGTTGACGTCTGAGTATTTTAATTAAAAACAACCATCAAAATCCACGCAGCAAAACAATATCTTGAACATTTGTTCAGCATGATTTATGTAAAATACACTTTACTAAACGAGTATGGTGTTTCATTACTTAGATCCAGTTTGTAACTTTAAACACAGCTGAATAATGGTCGTTAGGTATTCCAGTATCACAATCTTGTTTGTTTGTTTTTTGTTGTTGTTTTTTTGTTTTTTTTTCGGGGGGGGGGGGGGGGGGGGGCGGGGGGAATTATGTACAAAATTATTGAATTTGATTCAAGAAATTAAAAATATTAGGATTATATACATTTGCTTATACCAACAAGTCTAATATTTGACCACCGTGAAATGATTGACTTCAGTTTTGAAAAGGTTCACGTGGTTTTACTACATAAATGTCTAAACATCTTAGCTCTTGGCATTGTAGTTTCACACAATAAGCCTTAAATGCATTTTATTAATAATATCCACCGAAAGCATATCACAACAAAATAACATGAAAATTGCAGACTTTGATTCGTTGAGTCTGTACATGAGGGATAAATTTATGTAAGTTAGTTGACTCCCTGGCCGGCCTATATTTAAGGGGCATGATTAAAATTAATATTAGTTCTGTGGAAGTTCATAAAGAAAAGCTACATGCTTAATATTAAACGATAAGACTTAAATAAGTTTTCTTGTAAAAGTCTGACAGTGTATGAAATATTTAAATCCCGAGTTGGGCTAATATTTATCCGATCCAAAGGGCATTTTCTATATAAATTTTGTAGCGTTCAACTAGGCAATGCTACTTGACAAATATTTAAACTCAACACATTGTAGTTTCACTAAATAAGGCTAAACTGTGTTTTCTCATACGAGACTACCTTAACTACGTGATCCCAAAGGCGGTACAAATATTGACCAAATGGGCATGATTAATACCAGTTATAAATATATAATCAAGAGGCATGATTCGTACAATCTTTGTAAATGTCAATAGGGAAAACTGCATGCTAATTATCGAGGCTCTAAGCTCTGTAGTTTCACACAATAAAAGATCAATGTGATTTCCTTAATGTCTATATAAATCAACTCATTCTCTGGACGGGGACAATTTTGACATCAGGAAGCCCATATCGGTGTTTTGCATTTCTTTATAAATAATACTTTTGAAAAATAGTTTTCTTTCTTTCTATCGGTTCAAAAGATACAGAGCGGACACGAAATTCATGACATGAGATAGCTCTAATCTGAGCTCTGCAATCGTCCCATTCTGGTGATGCCGTTAAGTAGTTTTGATAACTTTTCATTGGTTACAAAATACAGAACGGACACGAAATTTCGGACAGATGGACGTATGGACGGACTACCAGGTGCATATTAATATACGCCAAAATTATTTGGCGTATGAATACCAAAACGTCGTACTTGGAAGGTGGTATTGTTGTCCTGGACACGAACTGACATTTCCATCCTGTTGACAAATATTGTCGGATATATTTTCGTCGTAATTTAGTAGTAAAATGCCCTTGGCGTTGAAGTATCCCAGTTTATAGTTACAATTAACTAGGGTAGGATGACTTGAATTACCAACAGAATATACAATGTATTTTTCAGAGATGTTTTTTAGGTTCCTGTGTTTGTTTCCACATGCATGGATGCAGTTAGATTCATCGGGCTGATATGTTCCGTCTGGGCAATTATCTTCCTCGAAAAATATTTTTTTCGGAGAGTTAGCATCAGCTACTGCCTTGTAATACCGACCTAAATGAAAAAAGTACTTTACAAAAAGACAAAATAATGGTGTTTTTAATAGAAGTGAATAATTTATGGAGACTTTTTTGTATTTATTTAATATAAACTTAAGTTATATGAAGATCAAGACGAAGATATTCGTGTGTAATTACTTTATATACCTGTCTGGTAAACAACAAAACTACCTCTTTCGGAGGTTAAAGGTACAGAGATGATCAAAATTAGATAAATCGGAATTTGTTTTCTAAATGATACAAAATCAACAAAATATTAACAAATAATAAAAACGTTTTGCTGTAAATGACATGTTCGTTTTCTGCTATTCGGCGCGTAGTATAACTTTCAGTTTGACTATGACTACGTCACATGCATTTTGTCTTTTACGGAGCAGTTTTTTTTCTCATTCTGAAAGTAGGCCTAGGAGTGTTCCATATGTTGTTGGTGGCGGTGGATCAACTGCCTATATACATGTGTATATATATATGTCAGTATCAAACTCATAGCCTGAATGAATATAAGGAGTGCGGTAATGACCCAAACTTCAATCCTTTTCACTTGATTGCTGGAGAAATCACACCAGCAATAAACTGTAATATATCATATAATTATATAATTTGTTAAATGATGATGTATCATATATCAATAAATGGGTGACTGAAAATTCTTCAAATGACAGCACATGTCCCGTTTATTTTTATCATCCCTCGAATATTGCTCCATCGCTACTCTCGAGCTAGTGCATGTCGCCAAAGTTAAGGGACAAAAATTACATAATGTTTTTTGAAATTGAAAATCGAAGAGTGCTATTCCATGAAGACCTCATTAAAGTTTTCAGGAAACGTTAATTAAATCAGTTAAATTATACTGAAACTGTAGTTGTGGAGACGTTTAAAAATGGCAAATAAAGCGTCGAAATGCACAGTTCTATCATACAAAAAAATCCTGTCGCTATGTCAATTTAAACAGCAATAAAGATTCAAAACTTATACTTTTTCAGTAGATAGAAGTCTTTAATGCAATACAAACTGAAGTCAGAAGCAGAACTTAGCTTCTAAAGGAAATTTATTATATATGTTCTGCGGCAGTTCTGTTGTAAAGGAGGTAGTCATGTGACCAAGGAGATAGCTCCTTAGTTATGGGATATAGGTTTATTTTATAAAGAAACCTCTGTGACGGTTCCAACTTGGCGTACTGTTTAAGGACAGTGTACACATATCTTTTTCTTGCTTACTTTGCGTACTTTCGAAATATGAAAATTTATCCTGTTTATTAAATTGTTTGACTTTTGGCATTTTGTATACCTTATAACTCATTCTGTAGTCGTGACATGCTACATAGAAAAATAAAACCACTTCGTGTGCGCTTTAAGTTAGCTCTAGATCATGTATTTAATATATGAATATCTACAGCAATCATTAGCAAACATTGCCTGAATTTTGACACACAATCAAACGGACACTTTGTTTTTCTACACGTTCTACTAATATCCTATATATCTTTTGCAATGTAAGCTTTCTAGTATTATCATTGTTGACCCACGTCTTTATACTTCTATAATAACTCTTCTGCTAGTACCATGTTAAAACTATGTTTATTAATAACTATCACGTTTGTCGAAAGTCTGTCTTTAGATAACGTATTTCAGTATCTTTTCTATTACGTTTATTTTTAATCAAATTAGGTAACAGATAAGAAGCACATCAGTGAGAAAAATGAATAAATACCTTACACAGAAAACATAACAAATAACAGAAAAAATTGACGTATATGAAATAATGACATAAACAGAGCTATAACTAAGTAGTTATCTCCTTGGCGGCATGACTGACTTTTTAGAACAGAGCCGTAACACAGATTTAAATATCACATTTGTCGTTTTAAAACTAATGCTAGTACAGATTTAGATTTTATTTGCATTCTAGACGCCACAATTCCTGAAAATGTATTCGTTTTGAATATATAATTGTTTTTAGATAAAAACACGGGGCAATAACTATCCTTCTTGGTGAATCAGTCAATTTCAACACATAGCCCGGAAGAAGAGATAGAGCAATTTATCTTATACCTCCGAAAGCGGTATCTCTGATGTTTACTTGGCATGATGTAGTAATTTATTGATTCCTATGGCTTGACATACTGTTAAACATTTTACAATTATTGACTAGTGTGCCTTTGAATATGATGTGATATTATTCATCGGCAGATGACATATTGACCGAGGCGATAAATGAATAGGCTATAAGAATTTTTAAAAGTAATCACAGAAAGTACAATCTTAAACATGTACAACCTATGCCTGTTCGCGGGAAAAAGGCGTACAGCAACTGCGTGGACGTTGCGCATACAAAAGTAATTCAAGTTTATACTCATCATGGCGGTGTACCTTTTAACTATAATAGTAAAGTAATGATATTTAAATCGAGAAATATACCATAAAGAACAAAACGCAACTATTATCTGTTTTAATAAGCATGCGTAATTAACAGCCTCATTGAATATGAGTCTCAATCTATTTTTAGACTAAGGAAATCCAATTTAGCCAGTGAATATGATACTACAACTATTAAATGTTTTGTTAACTACTGTTTGGACCGATGAGATTACAGCTATATTTAAATCATATAATAATCCGGATTGTTTTAGCATACTCAAAGATACGGCTGCAGGCAGTCAATATATTGAAGTTCTCCATGCGATACTACTTTGCTATGCTATATATATCATTATGTACCACTCAAATTTTAAGTTAAATCAGCATGAAAACACATATTTTTTTATGTGACAATAAGATTTTTATTTTTTCTTCGTTAGTCTTATACACTTAAAGCTGCAGTCTCATTTACTCCTGGCAGAGCCCAGGACAAACCCGGTAAGTTACTGGGATGATCCGGGACAATCCGGGATGAAATTATTGTTGCGGTCACACATACCCCGGCAGCACTACTGTAATTCCCAAACTTACACCCAGGATGCGCCCCGGATCATCCCGGCAGAGCCCAGGTGAATCTACGATTCATGCCGGTGCTTCCCCGGTTGTTCCCGGACGACGCCGACATAGCCCCGGCTGACCCAGGCAGTGCCCCGGTCAATCCAGACAGAGCCCCGGGAGAGCCAAGGACGATCCCAGAAGAGTCCCGGTGAATTGAAAACGCACGAAAATGATGACGTTGATACATATTAATATATTTTTCCCATCTAATAAGTAATTTATGATGATTGTCTGAATAATCCTTATGCGAGACAGGACATAAAGGAAATAGGGAAGAGTTTTTATACAAACAAGTGCAAACATCCTAAATTGCCGTGATTCTTTTGAAATGAGCCGGGCTTTGTCGGGGCTCCACCGGGATCAACCGTAGCTCCACCGTCATCCTCCGGGACTCCGCCGGCATTTACCGGGGCTCTGCCCGGCATTCACCGGAGCTCAACCGTAGCATTACCGGCTATATCATACCCCAGATTGTCCCCGTTTTGTGCTGGCAAAACTACGTGCTTCCCAGGTGTAACCCCGGTCGTTCCTGGCAGAGCTAAGGATGAAGCTGGCAAAACTACATCTGCCCGGATCATCCCGAACCACCCCGGTGATATTAAATATTTTATTTCGTCCGGGGTCGAATGCTGGATGTTCACGGATCATCCTGGACGTTGCCGGCAGAGATACGGATGTAGCCCGGTTGTTCCCGGTCGTTCCCGGATTATCCCTGACGTTTACCGGGACTCTGCCGGGATGTAAGTGAGACCGTAGCTTAACTTATTTCTAATTAGCCACCCCTAAAACTGCATTGCTTTGAAAAGTCTTTGTTAACTTATATTTTGTTTTGTATTGCTGTGAACGTTTTAACTATCAAACCAACATATCGAAACCAAGTTATCCTATCGAATTAATCTAAAGTACGAAAGTATAAAAGACAAATATCAAACAGCACCATGAACCGAGGCTTGAATAAATTGTCAGGATAAATTCAATCTGTACAAATATCAAATTAGAAAAAAAAAAACATAAAATATGCAGAAATTTGCAGGAACGTGATTTAGTCGTAGGAAAGTTGGTCGCAAGAATCTCTTTGCGCCTTATATTGTAAACGTAAGTTTACTTGAGCATATTTTTCCAAACAAATTGCATAATTTAAAAAAATGATTATTGAAAATAATTATGGAAAGCAATAAGAGGTATTTGTCCTATATTTTGAGTTATCTGCCCTCAAATGGCGTCCTGCATATTCCGCTATATTCCGTGTTATTTACAAATCAAATAAGCACCGAAAATAATAAGTTTTCCCGACAATGTAAGAACATATATAATGATAAAGCAACGACTTCAAGGCGTGGTTAATTACAAATTTGCTTAAGTGTAGGCCATTAAAAAAAATCATTTTAAAGTTATAATTTGTACAATAGCTAATGTTGTTATAAAAATCTAACAGGACATATGTCAATTAAATATTAATATCTATATTGGCTATATATTATATGATATGAAAGTAACGTACCTTTTGTGCATGATAAATTTTTTTTCAAGCATACATATGCACCAAAGTGACTTGTGGAGATACAATATGGCTTTTCATCTCTATTACAAATGTCTGAAAACTTGCAGTAGAAGATAAGTTGTGCAAAGGAATACACGTTTGTGTGGCAGCTTTTCTTTAAGGAATACAAGTTGTCCATGTTACAATATTGGGATTCCAGTAAATCTGTAGAAAACATTGTACTCTCAGAGGGGACAGCTGCATTCACAACAATACCTTTGTTTGAGAGGAATAGCATGACCTGAAAGGTTCCAACAACATGTAACTCATGACAGCAAACAAATAATGAAACGCATAATTATTGCTCTAGGAATCATTTTTCTTCTATGCATTCATCATAATCCAATGTAAGATTGCGTTGATTTCTAATTTTAATTAAAATTAGTGTAACTTTGATTTTGGTTGGGGTTAACGCCGAACCAACTCTGTAGAGGTCCTATGGCGACTATCCAGCTTTGCTGGTGAAGAAGGACCTAAGTGCCCTCCGTGCATTATTTAAGGTACGAATGGGCACCTGAGTAGAACCGTCGACGTTCCATTCGCAACAAGAATTTGTAACCAACGCCCCCCGCCTTAGAAAAGTTTTACATGAAGCACTTAATTGTGCTATTTAAAATAATTGAGGTATAAATCTTGACTTTCTGTGCAAGATTTTGATCAATGCTAGTTTTCACATGCCAGTAACAGTACAATCATTGAAGAAATGTAGTGAAATAACTCCTGTGTATTTGTCAACAGACATACATTTGTATACTTGTTATCACTTTTTAAAGCCACAAAATGTGTCAAATACAAGACAAATACAGGAAATGGAATGGTATATGGTATATTTCGTGTCCAGTAATGTTTGGGCAATTCACCAAAGGCATTTTATTTGCATGGGCCGGACTTTGCATCATACTCTGTAACAGACTATTTTAATCTAAGACCTGCAAGTGTGACCATGACCTTTGAGGTAGGGGTCTTGATGGTGCGCATGACATGTCGTTTTATTATTGCTTACATTTGTGCCAAGTTATTTTAAAATACCATCATTGATGAAAAGGTTATATACCGCAAACAAAACATACCTTAGAACAGACAATGTTAAGCTTTGGCAGTCAAGTGCAACCTTGACATTGAAGGCTGGAGTCTGGATGTTCCATATGACACATGGTCCCATTACTGAGATCAATTGTGCCTAATAATTTCAAAATCACTTGAACAATAAAGAAATTATGGACTGCATACAAAGTATACCCTATATAAGACCATGTTGAACTTTGATCTCTAAGTATGGCCTTGACCTTGAAGATAAGGGTCCGGGCGTTGTGCCTGACACATTGTCTTATAATTGTCAACATTTATGCCACGTATTTTCGAAATCCCTTGATTAATGAGAAAGCTATGACATAGAAACTTAATATACCCTATAACAGGCTTTGTTAATCTTTGACCGCTAACTGTGACCTTGACCTTGAAAGTAGGCAACTGGTTTAACGCATACCACATCGTCTTATTATTGTGGAGATTTGTCCAAATAATTTCAAAATCCCTTGATCTAGACCGGACCTAAAATAAACCCTGTAACAGACTATGCTAATCTTTGACCTCAAACACTGACCTTCACCTTAGAATTAGGTGACTGTGTTTGTGGATGACACATTGTCTTATTATTGTGAACATTTGTGCCAGATAAATTAAAAATCTCTCGTTCTATGAAAAAGTTTTGGACCGAACACAAAATATACCCTGTAACAGACTTTGTATATCTTTGACCTTCAACTGTGACCTTAAACTTGGAGACAGGGGTCCGGTTGTTGTACATGACACATCGTATCATTATTTTTGAACATTTGTTATAAGTATTTTCAAAATCCCTTCATGAATAAGAAAGTTATGAACGGGACACGAAAAATATCATTAAATAGACAATGTTGACCTTTAATCACCAAATGTGACCATGACCTTGAAGGTAGGGGTCCGGTTGTTGCGCATGACACATCGTCTTAGTTTAACTTGTGATAAATGACATAGTAATTGACCGGACACTAAAATGTGACAGACGGACGGACGAAGCCTATTTCTATAACCCCTTTTTTTCTTCGAAAAAGCGGGGCACAAATTAGTGTAACTTACAAAATTCACATAGTGTCTTACCATTACTAATACAGAAAATGATGTATTCTTCTTTTTTCCTGCAAACGGTATCAAATGATCGCCTGCGTGCATATTTTCTGATGACTTGACCGTCTTACCCTGATATCAAATACAAAACACACCAATATACTGGAAATAAACAGTACTAAATATAAAACAAATCTTTAAAGTACCCTTTTATCTTTGTTTGCCAGAAAACTCAAGCAAATTAAATTAAGTGTAGATGCTTAGGTGGAAACTATACAAGCTCGTGTCCTTATTCTAAAATTTACCCTGCAAGCGAAACTGACATACACAATTCATATAATTAAACGACTGACATCCAAAATTCAATAAACAAATCTAGAGGGGAGTAATGATTGTTAAACATAGCTCATAGCTGAAGATAAAACTGTTTGTGATAACCTAACCTGATGGCCATTGGTAAAGTTGTGTTGATGTTTTGCATAATTTTGAACAATATTGACAATAGTGTCTCTTGTATAAAAGTATAAATTACATAAGAAAACATATCCTGGAAGGAATATTTAGAACAATTTTATCTGCCCGTTTATTAAAACATGTCATACAGGATATTTACATCTATTTATATCTGTCATTCGTTTAAGGGAATACATTAGAGGCAAGCTTTGCCAATAACTTCAATATTTGATCGTAATGACAAATAATTTTAGGTTTACTTAACTTTAAAATAAATTATGACAATCAATTCATATCACATATTACAATGTACATTAGATGGCACGTTCTCATTTATTGCATTTTGATTTCGTGTTACCAACACATTCCATTTGACCTTTCATTTTAACAGGAAAATTCAGACATATTAATTGCCATTAGTTACAAACTTAAAAGTTTTGTCTCAACGGTGCTTTTAGATTAAGTTAAGATACACAATAATATGTATATGTAAATATGTATAAATATTAGGAAGATAAAGATTTGTTTACAAAACTGTCAAAATAATGTACAAAACAACAAGCCTGACGAATTTGTAACGCTGGTCATTTTCGAATCTATCACACCGTCTCTCTTTCCTTACGTCACTAAGTCAGTTTACTTTCAATCAATCACTTTTCTTTTATTCTCTCCATTCTGTCTTCTTTATAACCGGTGCCATTTTGTTTTTTTTATATTGGCATGACCTTAATCTAAGGTAGATTTACTATATACAACATTACAAATTAACCCGAGGGATTTTTAGGTCAACTCTTCGTCCGCAAGTCCGTCCATATAGATACTAAAGGGGGGATATGGCAACAGCAGGTAACAGTAAATTTCCTTTGATGCTATTCATTCATATAGCTTTTAGTGACCTTTTTTTTTTCCCGGGGTTGAAGGCCCAAAAGAAAACAAAAGTGTAGCCACTTACCAAAAAATTAGCATACATTTTTTCTTCCTTTTTAAAAAATGTGGTTCTATGGAAACAAATGGGTTTCCCAATATTAGTTACAATATTTGGAAAAAATCGAAAAATCAAAAATTTCCATAATTTGAATTGGCATGCAGTAAAATTTTTTGTGACTACCCACCCAAGTGCTAAAATATTTTGATTCAATTTTTTATGCCTTTTCCTATAATTTTTTTTCCAACGTTTTTATTTTCAATTTTTCAAAAAGTTTCAAACATAACCAGTTTTTGTGAACTCAAAAGGTCATACTTTTAAAGATATGGGAATTACCCTCTTTTGGATTGAATTATCATAATTTTTTTTTATATTAACTTCTTATTTATTTCTTAAACTTCATATTTATGTATCTTATTATGTCTCAAATCATATGTGAGGAGATTTCATAGTTAAGCTTTACTATTTCTAGAAGTATGTCTCCCCTTGATTTTCTTTCTAGAAATTATTTTTAATCATTTTTCAAACTTTTTTTATTTCTCATAAGATTTACTTCAAACTCCCACATCATAATAATATGACAATGTTTATGAATATAGCTTCTATAATTCCAGTTTTATTTTCAACCTTAAAATTTGATTTTTTCTTACTAATTCTTTAACATTCTTACATTTTTTTATGGATTTACTCCAAATTTAAAATATTTATTCATTATAAACACCTACTGGTATCGAAGCAGTTTCCGATAAAAATATTGAAAAATTTCTCAATAACAACGTCTCCAATTTAAATAAAATTTTGATATGACTAAATACAGGTCATGCATTGTTATTGTAAATAAAAACCGGATTCCTGAATAAGACATGCGCATCAAAAATGGGGCTCCAACGGGAGGTGTAAATTAGCCGCAATTGCCTCGCTACAGAAGCAGGTTTCCGACACTTTTTTTAATCATTGATTTTGCGGGTTTATAAATCGGTATCGATGTTTTTGTTATAATAAGACTTTTTGAAGGCCTCTTTAGACAAATAATATTGCTTTATTTAGGGTTTTAATCGTAATAATTCAGAAAACCTGGTAGACATAATATGACATATGCAGTGATTTTTTACCGAGATTATTATCAGACCGGTTCCGGCGCACTGACCAGTTTCCGAACAATCAAGCGAGCCATTCACGTAACCGACAATAAATATAGAAAATATAGAAAAATATTCACTGGTTTTGTAGTTTATTGACATTAACAAATAAATAATTAAATCATCATTCTATTTCGGCTTCTTATTTATAATTTTCGTCTGATTTAGGCAAAAATGCTAAATTTCATCTCGCCAATCTTATTGGTATTGGTATATCGTTACATATTATATGTAAACTGAAAGAAAGGGACACAGTTTATATATTGAAGGAAAAGTTGTTATCTGCCTTACAACTTCATCCAAAAATATTTGCAAAAATATAACCTAAAGATATTCATACCTGTTTAAACTAGGAGACCCTATTTAACTACATTTAGTTCCGAAGCATGTATTTTTAATGACAGGATTTCTGTCAATGAACACTTTTCCATGTGTTCTCATCAGAAATAAAATGTTATTTGATAATGGAATTTATGAAAGAGTGTGTAAAAAAAGTGTGCCAACAACTTTGTTGAGATAAACATATTTTGAAGTAAAGGCATAATCATTTATTTAAAAAGCGCTTACTGTTTAAAATAGTAGGATCGAGTCTTGAAGATACGCTATGCTCTTATTTATGGAAAGCACATCTACGTGTAGTGTAATTAATATACATTTAACCTCTGAAAACTAAATTATAAGATAAGATGCAGAAGAAAGAACAAATAAATATCGATTTCTATGTCAGTGTTAACAGTTATTACTTGATCTAAAAATTGTTGTTTATGTATCCGTTTTATGGATAAAATCTGGGACAGAAGATCGTATGTGATTAGATTTATAGATCCGAAGAACAAGTACATCATATGTGATTAGATTTATAGATCTTATCTGGGCTTCAATATTTTTTGTTTTTCAACTTGAAATTTATTTGAGTGTTTCTTTTTCTTGATTATTACTATACATGGTATATTTGAAAATCGTTTTTTTTTTTTCATTTTTCTTCTTTATGACTATAAAAAGTAATTTCTTTAAACTTTTTATTATTGTCTAAGTCTACCATCTTAATTCAAGAGTTACATGTATTTCCATAAGAGTGTATGTCAGTTCGTCTGTCTGGTCGTTCCTAGAACTTGTTTCCTAAGATGACTTCTAAAGGAATATTTTCCGACAAATTTACTGAAAATAGAGAAAAGCTGAAATACTAGTTATATTTTATTTATTTTATTTATTTTATTTATTTAAGTCTCAATAACATATATGTACATATCAACCAATATAAAATACAAGATAAAACAAATGGCATACATATATGAAAAAAATCAAATGTTTGATTTGCTAGAGACTATTAAAAAACTATACATTTTCAATTTCTTAAAAACTCTATCACATATTTTAATGACTACTCACTTAATGTACATATACAGAAAAAGAAATCAAATGAAATGTCATCTGAGTTTGCTCTTAATCATAGCTTTGTCAAGTCAAAGATCTTGGCAAGTATTCATATTTGAGTACAGTTAGAATTCAAATTACTCTGTCTATCCCATAGAAAAAGGCTGAAAGATTTAATCATAAACAAAATAGTTCAGAAAATTGTTATGTGCTAAACTGTATGAAGACCCAAATATTCATGTTCTATAACAACAGTGGTTGTGTCAAAATTATGACTTGGCATTGATTTGTATAACCAAAAAACAAACCCTCCTTATTTTTCGGTTCTAAACTATATTACTTTCTTTACCATATATATATACACATATTCTAAATGCTATGACCTAGAAAACTCTTCTTAATGATAATCTGTCGTTTTGTTTTTTTTTTTATAAATTAAAAAGTTATACATACTCATCCTGAGAAAATAATTGGATCTTTTGATTATCTGTTGTATTAACACAATTTCCTTACAAGGCAGGGAAACTTAAAACTTTATGATACAAATAAACTAAGAACTCAAAAAAAATCATTCATTCATTTACTTTTTAATTCATTCACTCATTCAATCATTCATTCATTCATTCATTCATTCATTCAATGGTCTAACTGAATGGTCAATGATGCAGACTCATGTATTGCTTGCAAAACTATAATGATAATTGCTTGTTTATTCTAACCCTTTCAAATACGAAGTGTAAATGTGCTCAGCAGTGTGTGCTTGTGGCGGAGTTGAGGATACAGATCATTTTCTCTTACACTGTCCGATTTACACAAACCAAAGAGCGGATCTTCTCAGTAATATTTCACCAATCTACTCAGTTAATTTGGAGATTCTTTTTTTTTTTGGCAATGAATCCTTGGACAGCGACACTAACTCATTTATTTTCACACAGGTACAAAATAACATTTCTCACACAGGCCGTTTCAAGTGATAAATATCCCACTCTGACATGGACTTGACCCTTGACCCTTTCATAAACTATTCTTTCTTTCTTCCATAAGTTCTTTGTTAAATATTAATTTTTGAACTGTATACTTCCCTGACACTTTTAAGTTTCAATTACACTTTACCAACTCACAATTTATATTTTATTTATATATCTTTTTTCTCTGTACTTTTCTCAAAATATTATTACATATTGATTATTACACCATATCATGTCAGCTTAGCACGATAGTCAGAAGCGAGGCTTAGCATA